TAATACAGCAAATAATAAAAGTGTTTATTATCCTATTCTCTTCTCTAATACACCCCCCACAAGCTCAAGGGGGATGAAACATAGCAGATAAATCAACAACATTGAGCTTGGAGCGAAGAAATAGAAATCTCTTAGGCGACAAGGCCTTGGTCAGAACATCTGCATATTGATGTTGAGCAAGAATATGCGAAACAACAAGAGACTTGCTGAGCACTTTTTCACGGACAAAAAAGATATCAAGCTCCATGTGCTTAGATCTTGAATGTAAAACAGGATTGTGAGATAGTGCTACTGTGCTTTGATTATCATAGAGCACTATAGGAGTGTTTAGGGGAACCTTTAATTCCTTTAGAAGTGACTGAATCCACAAGACTTTAGTTACTGCTTGAGCCAAAGCTCTATACTCAGCCTCAATGCTTGATCTTGCAACAAGCAGCTGTTTCTTGGACCACCAAGACACTAGATTAGGACCAAGATAAAGGCAGGCCGCTAAAGTAGACCTTCGATCGTTCGGATCAAATGCACAATCAGCATCAGTAAAGGCAGTAAGATTGAAGGAGGCTTGTATACTTTGCAGGCGAGAACACAAGTCCATGTCCGACAATTCCTTTTAGGTACCTAAGTATTCTTTTAACAACTTTCCAATGTTCTTCCATGGGAGAGCACATAAACTGACTTACTTTATTAACACTAAAGGAAATCTCAAGACGTGTAATTGTGGCATATTGCAATGCACCAACTACGAACCTGTATAAGGTAGGGTCATCAAAGAGAGTACCATCTTTAGTAAGCTGCTGGCCGCCAATCATAGGAGTGGAGATGCCCTTGGAATCTTCCATTTTGACCTTGGTAAGAAGATCAGTAATGTACTTGTCTTGGGAAATAATCCAAGGTACCAAGGTCTTTAAGAGAGAAAATTTCATTAAGTTGAGTAATGAATTTTTGCAGCAAGGAAGGAGAATTCCCAATGAGAATAATATCATCTACATAGACAAGCATGAAGACAATGGCAGTAGATGAAGAGAAGATAAACAAACTAGGATCACACTTGCTTTTGTTGAACCCAAGCATGAGTAATACAAACGTTAGTTTGTCAAACCAAGCATGGGGAGCCTGTTTCAAGCCATAAAGAGATTTGTCCAGCTTGCAGACAAGGTGTTTTTTGGCAGGATCAATGAAACCAGGAAGCTGAGACATGTAGATGTCTTCTTCAAGCATGCCATTGAGAAAGACATTATTAATATCAAGCTGTCGAAGAGGCCACCAAAAAGAGACAGCAAGAGATAGAACAATTCGGATGGTGACAGTTTGACAACAGGAGAGAAGGTTTCAGAAAAATCCAGACCAGGTTGTTGATGAAAACCCTTGGCAACAAGCCAAGCCTTGTATTTATTAATGGAGCCATCCAATGGGTTTTCTTCCAGAGGGCAGGGCAACTAATTTCCAGGTGCTGTTGTCATGTAAAGCTTTGATTTCAACTTGCATGGCAACAAGCCAATTAGGATCAGCTAAAGCAGTTTTAACTGTCTTAGGCACAACATGAGAAAATAGGAGTGTGGGATGAATTCTGGGTTGAACAATGCCATTTTTGGAACGAGTGGTCATTGGATGAATATTGGGGGGTCTGCCAGGGGATAAAGCTGAAGAAGAGTCTCGTTCAAATCCTGTGATTTGACAAAACATGAATGAGGATAGAACACAAAGTAGACATTGTTGTCTTTGGCAAACTTAGAGACACTGATCAGATTTTTGGTTAAAGTAGGAACAAGTAATAAATCTTTTAGATAGAAAACTGTGGAAGGATGAACAGGGGACCTAAAAACATTAGAACCAATTGAAGCAATAGATGTACCTTGGCCATTGGCCATGACAATGTGCTCGGCTCCTGTAAACTGAGCACTCTGGAGGAGATGTTGAGGATCAGGCGTGACATGATGAGAGGCACCGGAATCGGGAATCCACGCAATAGCAGTGTTCAGAGTTGGTGCAGCACGTGGAACAAAGGAAGCAGCACCAGAATAACTTGGCTGGGTAGGTGGTGAGGCAGGGAAGGTGAACCCAGGTGGTGGAAGGAAAAAACCAGAAGGAGTAGACCCAAAGGGGCCACCCAAGGCATAGGGAGGCCACAAGACTTGTCCTGAAAGACCAAGCATATTGGTAGAACCAAAATGAGAAACCGCACCAGCCCTAATAAACCATACCAATCGACCTATGGTCGAGACGATCCAATATCGTTGTTAAGTCACTATCAAAAGTAAACTAGATGTCTTCTAAAAATTTGTAATATAGGGAACAATTTAGGTTATTCTTCACGAAGACACAAACACATTTAATTCGTATTTTATTACACAAAATTAGCAAGAGCATTTAATATTTCAATACAATATTTAATCAACAAAATAAAGGATTAAGAATCAGAAATCAAAGCTAATATATCACAACATGATACTAATAAAATTCAAATAAACCAAAAATAATTCATAGAAAGATATACAAAAATTGATTTATTAGAGAGAAATTTTTTTTTTGAGAGACTTCTATGAGAAAAAACTCAATTTTTGAAGGAAAAGCTAACACTAATTCGGATTCTCTAGAAGGTTCCCATCATACATTCTCATTCCCCTTTATCTTAAATGATGACCTTTAAGACAATGAGTACGATCTTCACTATCTTAAAGATATTCTGCTCCTCAATTTTTCTCTAGGTTTTTTCTCTACAGACACTCTTAGGATTTTAAAACTTATGTGTATGACCTAATCTTTCATCCTCTATATTATTAATAAGACTTTGGGTAGGACTGTGATAATGGCAAGGCGAGTGAGACCATTACCTTAGTTCCTTTTAATTTTTTTATTTATTATTTAAAAATTAATTTAAATTTAAATTATTAAATGATATTTTTATATATTAAATTTATTTATTTTTCTTATAATCAACTTATTTGAACAAGTATTAAAATATTAAATTAATTTCATATTTATTACATCAATCTCAATAAATAAAAGTTTTAAAAAAGGATAATTTGAAAAATAAAATATCATATTAGTTTTAAATAAATTTAAATTTTAGTGAACATTAATGGTATTGACTTTTTTTAAAATTGAAAATATTAAAATAAATATTAATAAACATTAATTAATTAGTTTTTATTAAAAAAAATTGTTTTACATGCATGTAATGTTTATAAAATAGTATTAAAAATATTTGAAATTAGAGTCATTGTTAAAATAATTTTTTTAAAATAGTTTTTTAAGATTTAATTGAAATAAATCATATATGTTAAGGTACAATGACTAATAAAATGTTAAAATTATTTTATTATTAAAATTTAATTAATAAATTTAAATATTACAAAAAGTAAAAAAAAAAAAGAAATATGATTAATTATATTAGAATTTTGACTCATGACATAACTAATAAGGCATGACATGATTGATAAATAACTTTGTTTCTTAAATATGTGATTAAAAGTTTGATCTTTTATCAATATGTATGAAAAATATTTATTAAAAGAGATTAATCTCTTAAATGAATCTTAATAACTAGGAGGACTAGTCCTTAATTTTTAGCTAAGAGATGTCTTAATTTACTAAAAAAGAACATGACTCATAAAATTCGTCTAAGGTCTCAACTTTTCTAAACAGGACTCGGACTTCAAGTTGAGTTTAAGACTCCAACCTAAGATCCTCTTTCTTTCTATCGTCCTTCTTATTATAATTATATTAATAACTCAATAATACAATTAATTATGTCAAAAATATAATTATTTTATTAAAAATATTTATTTATATTATAAATTCAATTAATTAAATTAATTAAGTTTATAATATAACATTGAAAATTCATTTTATCTTATTTCTTAAAATTGAGATGTTACAATAACAATTTACATCTCAAGTTAAAAATGTCAACTTAATATATTTTAAATTATAAAATTCAAGATATAAATAATTGCAAAATTATATAAATGATTTATTCTTATTTACATTTTTATTAAATATATTTTTTTAATTTTATTTCAAAAATCTAAATTAACCTTTAATTTTTTTTTTAAATTGGACCATTTCAATCCAGTTTTGTTGTTCTAACCGATTTTAATTGATTTTTTACTTGCTTTGACCAATTTCTTACCAATTTTCACTAGTCCTAAGCTATCTCAATTTTAGTTGTTATTAGACTTGGTTCCTAATTCAATTGATCAAATCAGTTGCTTCGAATTTTAAAACTATGCTTACATTTAAAGATGCATGTCTAAGTTCAACTCCCATAATGGAAAAATCGAAATCACACATAGTTCATCATAAATTTCTTACTAATATTGTTGGCAAGAAAAAAAGTTATATGGACTAAACTTTTTAATCAAACTAATAATATAAATATTTTACATAAACTTTTAATAGATGAAAAGAATAGTTAAAAATAACTGTGACCTATTCATAAAAAAATATTAACAATTTCTCTCTTAAGAAAAATCATTAATAGTTATGTTTTTTTTCTTCATGTTTACGAGAGAGTTATTAGATTTTTTTTTTTGTTCGTCCCTGGAGTATCTACCGCCGATAGCAGTGACTAATCTCCTCGCTACGTTGGAGGCACCTCAAAAGGTAGGATAGCTGACCCCAAGATTTAACGCGGCTGCATACACAAGACAAGATTCGAATCCCTGACCTTACTTAAGCGTGGTATTGTTCCTTTACAATACAGTTATTTTCATTTCTATATAAAAAAATGATTTAATTAAAATACGTATATAATTATTATATCTAAATACCATAATATAGTTTTATTATTCACAAATAAAAACCCATAAAATCAGGAAAAAAAATTAAATGAAGTCTATTTATGCAAGAAATAAATAATAAATAATAAACAATAAACAATAGATTCTATTAGTCAAATCTTTGTACCATGAAAGCCGATAAGAAAAAAATCTCTGTACCATAAAAGAAAAAATTATTATATTGTAAAAAAAAAAATATTATTCTAATCTATGATGTTAACCACATGATGCCAATATTGCTTCCTCCCTCAGAAATCTATTTTGGCTCTGTTCTGAGTTCTGAGTTCTGAGTTCTGAGCGTTTAATATTGCTTCCTACCTCACCAAAGCAGCACAATACAATCTTATTTTCCCCAATATAACATAAATTTGCCACTGTTAAGGTTTCAGTGAAGGGAAGAAAGAAACAACGCTATGAAAAAAGGCGATAATAAGGGTCGCACTCGGACCTTTCCGGTGGATCCGAACGTGCCCCGATGGGTTTGCCAGAACTGCCGCAACCCTCTCTGCATCGTTGGTGTCGATTCTTACGCCGAAAAATTCTTCAACGATTCTTCTCGCTCCGGTTCGTTAGGGTTTCATTGTTATTTCTTGATTGTTAATTTAATTAATTGATTCATGCTTGTTAATTTGGCTCATGTATGAGCATTTGATGCTTGTGTGGAATGGTTTTGGAATGATGTTTGTATTGGTGTTGGTTATGAGTGGATTGATTAAATTGTGATTAGTCAAGGAAGAATGATTGTGGTGGTTTGATTTTTGATGGAGATGTAATGGATGAGTGTAGGGATGCAAGGGTCGTCCATTCATGGTGCCAGCAGTGTGCTGAGTACGACTAAGATGGACAATTCCTATGTTGTGTTGCCCAAGCAGAGACCTCCGACTCAGGGGAATGCTCCTCGGCCACGTGGTGATGCTGCTGCACAGCCTGGGAAGGCCATGGAGGAGTCGTTTGTGGTTGTGTACAAGTCTGAATCGGGGACTGATGGAAGTGGGGCGCATTCATTGGGGGCAGGGGCGGATTCTGGTGGCCATTTGCCGCCTCATAACTCTGGGTTTAATTCCACTATCATGGTCCTGACCCGGGCATTTGAGATTGCTACAACGCAGACACAGGTTTGTGGATGGAAACTTGTAAATATGTAATGTATTTGATGGGTTTTGAGGCTATTGGGTCATAGTCTCTGTGTTATCTGTATGTGGTTACAGGTTGAACAGCCTTTATGCCTTGACTGCATGAGGATTTTGTCGGATAAGCTTGATAAAGAGGTTGAAGATGTGAACAGGGACATTGAAGCATATGAAGCCTGTCTTAAACGCTTGGAGGGGGAGGCTAGAGATGTCCTCAGCGAGGCTGATTTTCTTAAGGAAAAATTGAAGGTGCTCATCAGTTTTGCATTCTCCAGTCTGTGTATTGCGTAACTATTTATTTAGGATTTAAGCCGTTAGTGATGATAACTATGAGGAAAAATCACTGTATTCAAAACCTCTGTTGACTATTATTTGAATGGCCAATATGCTTTGTTGAATTATATAGGTAGGGTTTGGTAGATGGGTTGGAATGAAATCAAAGATAGCATGGGTTTGTTCTATGTTTGGTGTGATTGAAAAACACCAATTTGGAAGCAATACAAATTTATCTTCCTTGGTTGCTTGGAGAAAAGGCAATAATAAGGGTTAGACATAATAATTTATTGTGAACTGTTAGACCTAATAATTACATATGCTATCACAATGTCCTATGTTGTTTTCCATTTTGTTAAACCTTCCAAATGTACCTGCATAGCCTTGGGTGACTTGATTTGGTCGCTACATTTCTGTGAAGTTTTCCAAGATCTGTTCTGTGACATCACTTCTTTCTTCACCTTTTTAATCTCTCTTTTCTATGTAAGAGTTATATATGTATACCTGAAAGCCAGTAAGTAAAGTAATTTTTTTTCTGTATCTATTAGAAGTTGCCCTTTTCAAGTTTTGAAGTTGGAATGATTGGTTAACAACTGCTTCTAATTTCAAATAATACTTGTCATTCTATGAACTAGAAATATGGAGTTCTGATAAAATGTCTTTACCCTTAGAAACACCGGTTCAGTTAAGATGATTTTCTTGAGTGTACTGTTAAATTTTCTTCCAAAGCCTAATCATTGATTTACTACTTGGAATACTGTTCAAGATCGAGGAAGAAGAAAGAAAACTTGAAGCAGCAATTGAAGAAACTGAGAGACAGAATGCTGAAGTTAATGCTGAGCTGAGGGAACTAGAGCTAAAATCAAGCCGCTTTAAAGAATTGGAGGAGCGGTATGATTTATTTTGTTCCTTGACCTTGATATTTCTTGATAGAAAATGCCATAACTTGCAAAATAAAATTTCTATGAATATAGATAGATCTTTAATTTTTTTTCTTATCTGAATTGTGTGGATGCCTGATATCAGTGATTGATTTTACATGTCTAAATGTGTAAACAGGTATTGGCACGAGTTCAACAATTTCCAGTTTCAATTATTTTCTCATCAGGTTTGTAATTGTTCCCTTGCCTCTTCACATACCAACTTGTCGGGTAGAATTTGTTCTGGCAAGTTTTTTTTTTTTTTTTTTTTTTTTTTTTTTTGGGGGGTTTTGGGGGGGTTTAAAGGA